CGCCGGACACTTTGGCATTGCGAAGACCATCGCACGAGTAGCGCGCTTATATTATTGGCCAGGAATGTTCCGCGACGTCACTCGATACGTCCGTGACTGCCGAAACTGCGCCACCCACAAGGCCGCACAAACCTTGCCGGCCGGGAAACTTCGAGCCACCAACGTCACGCACCCGTGGCAACAGGTCTCCATTGATCTGGTCGGACCATTGCCACGATCGACCAGTGGCCATACCTGGCTGCTGACCATGCAGGATCGATTCTCCAAATGGATAGAGATGACGCCGCTCCGCCAAGCCACCGCCGCCAACGTCACACGAGAAGTAGCTGGACGTATTATATATCGTCACGGCTGCCCGGACACCATCGTCTCTGATAACGGGACTCAGTTGAGATCGCACCAGCTCGAGGGATTACTACGATCCTTCGGGATCAAGCATAGAACCGCCCCCGCCTACGCACCGCAGTGCAACCCGGTCGAGCGAGCCAACCGCACCATAAAGACCATGGTGGCGCAATATGTGGAAGGCCGACATCGCCGTTGGGATGAACACATTCCCCAGCTCCAGTTCGCTTTCAATACCGCACGACAAGAATCCACGGGATACACCCCGGCCTTTCTGATGTACGGCCGGGAGTTACAATCACCGCATCCCGACGACCGCCGCCCGGCAACGACCAGCAACGCTCCTGAAACAGTTCGACGTCGACTCGAAGACGCCTACGAAATTGTCAGAATCAACCTGGCCCGCGCCTTCCAACATCAACAGCGAAACTACGATTTACGTCGACGCGACTGGCGTCCACAAGTTGGAGACCGAGTATGGAAAAAGGAGCACCCGTTATCGAACAAAGAGCGCGGCTTTAATGCCAAACTAGCACCAAGATTTGGTGGCCCGTTGACGATCAGACGCATCATCTCCCCCGTCATCGTGGACCTGAAGGACGACCGAGGTCGATGGCATCGGCACGTCCACGTGAGGGACTTGAAATCCGCCTCCGAACCGCGTCCTGCGACCGAACCCTAGTCCGATACCCGAGCAACGCGCGCCGATTAACGCCGCCGGTCAACCGTTAGGCATGTTCGCGGTTTCGAATCAAAATACGTGGAGCGGCACTCTTCATGGTCCGCGTCTTGTCGAAAATCTTTGGCCGAATACCGGGAACGACATTCTTCATGGTCCGCGCTTTGCCACCCGGTCCCGAACCGAGAGCGGCACTCTTCATGGTCCGCGCTTTGCCACCCGGTCCCGCACCGGGAGCGGCACTCTTCATGGTCCGCGTCCAGATCACCGAGGGGTATAAAGAACGGGCACCCTTGGGTCGGAACTCATCCCGTCACGATGGAAACACCAAACGAAGAAGCAAACCAGCGCTCAAAAGAAAATCCGTCCGTTTCCGGACGAAATCTGCCCGTTTCCGGGCGAACCACCCGGCCAGTACCGGGAATAGGGACCCGCATCCAGCGGTCCGACGCCGAGCAGCGACGTCGGAACTTGGTGCTCTTGGAGGCACCTCCGCCTCCCCCGGGCAGACGCCGACCTATCCCGGTGAACACCCGGCATCGACGACCACCGGTCCTCTCCGACTCCCCGGCCTCCACCGTCGCCGGCGTCACCAGGCCCACGACGACACCGGCCAGCGCACGCCAGCCCGCTCGACCATCCGCGAACCGATCGGTTCCCTCAACCGGCACCCGCCGACACACGCCATCCGCTGTCGCACCGCCAGCCACCACGCGCCAGTCAGCGACGCCTGACGAAGCGGACCAGCCAGCGCATCGCGCCAACACAGGCCAACAGGTGCGATCCCTTGTCGCGCCACCAGCCAGGGAGCCACCCCAACCGGCACCACGCCGACCTCCAACCGGCCAGGCCCCACCAGTGCCAGCACCACGCCCGGGACCGCCACGACCCATCCAGGTCACTCTGGGGGATGGCCAAACCGTCGACATACCGTACCACGCCGCCACCATCTCACGGCGGTATAAGGTACGCACCCCGACGGGCCGGTGGATCATCAGATTCGACCGACGAGGAAGACCGCGAACGATCCGTCGAATAGCCACCCCCCCCTAGAAAAGGAGGGTGATGTGACGACCCGATTAGCCGTCACTAGTCGCCCGCGCTCGTGTAAACGGCCCCTTTCGGGGCCACCACACGAATACGTTGGGAATCCGCCTTTTCGCCCCCACCCGTCACTCGACCCCCTCCAAGCTAGTCTTAGAGTGGGGTGGCCGACGGGTATAAAGAGCGGCGCAGCCGAGACTTCGACACCAGTCCCGTCCTGGTCCCTCGAGCGTACTCAGGGATCACTCCTCAACTCCCACACTCCAAATCACCCCGGCCGACGAGCGTTCTCGTCGTGCAGGCCGAGCGTTCTCGGTCACCGGGTCCTGTCCGTAACTCACCCCGGCCGACGAGCGTTCTCGTCGTGCAGGCCGAGCGTCCTCGGTCACCGGGTCCTGTCCGTAAATCACCCCGGCCGACGAGCGTTCTCGTTGTGCAGGCCGAGCGTTCTCGGTCACCGGGTCCTGTCCGTAACTCACCCCGGCCGACGAGCGTTCTCGTCGTGCAGGCCGAGCGTTCTCGGTCACCGGGTCCTGTCCGTAAATCACCCCGGCCGACGAGCGTTCTCGTCGTGCAGGCCGAGCGTCCTCGGTCACCGGGTCCTGTCCGTAACTCACCCCGGCCGACGAGCGTTCTCGTCGTGCAGGCCGAGCGTTCTCGGTCACCGGGTCCTGTCCGTAACTCACCCCGGCCGACGAGCGTTCTCGTCGTGCAGGCCGAGCGTCCTCGGTCACCGGGTCCTGTCCGTAAATCACCCCGGCCGACGAGCGTTCTCGTCGTGCAGGCCGAGCGTCCTCGGTCACCGGGTCCTGTCCGTAAATCACCCCGGCCGACGAGCGTTCTCGTCGTGCAGGCCGAGCGTCTCGGTCACCGGGTCCTGTCCGTAAATCACCCCGGCCGACGAGCGTTCTCGTCGTGCAGGCCGAGCGTCCTCGGTCACCGGGTCCTGTCCGTAAATCACCCCGGCCGACGAGCGTTCTCGTCGTGCAGGCCGAGCGTCCTCGTCACCGGGTCCTACCTCTCCCTTCGTGCAGGCCGAGCGTCCTCGGTCCCGGGTCCTGTCCGTAAATCACCCCGGTCCGCGCGTTCTCGTCGCAGCCGAGCGTCCTCGGTCCCGTGTCCGTAGGCCGCGCCGTACTCGTCCGTGGGTCCTACCTGAAAGTCACCGCGCCCGACGGAGCTCGCCCTTATCAGGGCGCCCGTCCGCGTGTCCGCGTTGGAAACTCTAGCAATAAGTCGTGTACGCGTCCGTATAATCTGGTCGCGTCTCGTCCGTAATATTTCTATCCGTCAATCCTAGCATAAGTCGTGTCCGCGTCCGTATAATCTGGTCGCGTCTCATTGTAATATTTCTATCCGTCAATCCTAGCATAAGTCGTGTCCGCGTCCGTATAATCTGGTCGCGTCTCGTCCGTAATATTTCTATCTGTCAATCCTAGCAATAAGTCGTGTACGCGTCTGTATCATCTGGTCGCGTTTCGTCCGATTATACTGTGCTGTGTATAATGGTTTGAATCACGGGAGAACCACAGGAAGGTGGCCCCGAATAAACTCTACTTTTACCAGAGCAACCGTGTGTCATTGTAAATCTGAGTCTCCCCTCTTCCCGAATCCTGGCACCGACGAGCCGATCCGTGGCGTCGGAAAGGTGCTTCGTTACATTTAATATTCCGCGCGCAAGAATATATAAATTATACTGCGGCAAACGTTTGAAAAATTCTTTAAATTATCATCGATTCCTTTTCCTTTTTGTTGCTCCACAGTAGCTGCCCAATTTCGAGTTATATTCGTAAGGTGCGTGTAAAAAGTTATTAAATAATGGCAGATTAACTTCAGCAGAGTATACGGACATGATTATCGTATACGGAGCCGGAGAAAATGCTCGTGCTGCGGCTCGTCTTTACGCGGAGCGATTTCCCGAACGTGAGCGTCATCCATATTATAAAACAATTTTGCATTGTGTTCAGTTAGATAAACACTAAAAGTTGTGATGCCAAATCGACGATACGTGGGGGCACCAGTACGTTATCACGTACGAGAAGAAGAAGAATCCTGCGAAATTCGAAGAAAACCCCAGGACCAGTGTTGTAACTCGGATGCTCGGTCTCTCGCGATACGTGGTGCATTATGTTCTACGTCAAATTGGATAACATCCGTTAAAAATCATCACAAGTAACATTTACCGAGAGATGACGAACAGCGCGTCATTTTTATGAAGGTATTTTTATTAACTTTATTTCATATTTTTTCGCATTTTTTAATATTATAATATTAGTCTGTCACACAGAATTTCTTGCGCAGTATCGACGAAATAATTTTTTCCCGTGAATTTTATGGACTGACGAAGCCACGTTACACCGAACGGTGTGTTCATTCACACAATTTTCTGCATGGGCAGAAGAAAACCCGCATGCCGTTCGAGAACGCGCGCATACGCGCCATAAATCTTTCTCATAATAAAAGCCGAAGCGACTATAATTCGTATACGACTTGGGGCGGAATTCATAGATGTTTCTTGAGTTTCAAGACAACCTTAAGCTAGTGCTTAAGATCGTGATAGTTTCATGAACATTTTAAAGACCGATTTTCAAACTGAAACTTGAGATCATGCTTAATGAAGCAAATTCTGTTTCATAGTCAAATCTTAAGTACGACTTAAAATTATTAGATGCACAATCATGACTCAAACATATCTTGAGCAGGTCTTAATGAAGTCCAGTAAATTGTAGACTTAAGACGGTTGTGAAATAAAGTGCTGTATAGGTTATATAAAATAAAATAGTTATGTATCAATTATATTAAAATTATTTTAAAAATAAACATTTAATCCTATATACGATATTAATTAATTATTTATAATACATTTATTACAAATTTACATAATATTTATTATTTTGAGGTTTTATATTTACATTAAAGGTATTATGGAATTTATATATTGGGCCAGTTTGACATTAACTTGTTTGAAAGTTCTGATTCCTCTTCTGATGAAGAAAATGACGAAAATGAAGAAATTGGCATAATACGTGAAAAACGATATGTGCGAGATGCAATTAATCCATTTACAGCTTATCGTGAACACGAATTTCATATAAGATATAGATTCTCAAAAAATTCTGTTATGCATGGATTATTGCCTTTGGTTATAAATGGTTTAACAAAGCCTGATAATCGAGGTCTTCCTATTGAACCAGTTATTCAATTGCTTATTTGTTTAAGATATTATGCTACCAGCAGTTTTCAAGTAAATTCTCTATATTACATATCATTAATTTTAAAAAGAGACATAAATAATTGTATTATATATTTTATGTTTTAGAAAGTAAACGGAGATCTTATGAAATTACCACAACCAACAATTAGTAGAATTATATTTAGAGTAACTATGATATTAGCATCTTATTTGAATAGTCATGTTAAATTTGTGACACATGAAGGAGCTATACAAGAAAACCGCAGATTATTTAAAGAATTAGGATATGGGAGATTTGGAGCTATTGGACTTCCTTACATTGATGGGGCAATAGACTGCACACACATTAGATTATTAAGTAATAATTTCGGGGGACTGGCTGAAATGTATAGAAATAGAAAAGGATATTTCTCTTTAAATGTCCAGGTAAAGTAATAAAAATTATGTTTCTATTTTACTAATATTTATTTGTTTTTTATTGTCTTATTCTTTATTTATTGTATAAGGCTATCGTGGGACCACGCATGGAATTTTTAGATCTCGTCCCAGAATGGCCAGGAAGGGAACACGATAGCAGAATTTTCCAAAATTCTAGAATTTTTATGCGGTATCAACAACGTGAATTAACAGGAATGATAGTTGGAGATTCTGGATATCCTGCTCTTACATTTCTGTTAACACCATTCAGAAATCCTCAAAATGAAGAGGAACAAAAGTTAGATATTAAAAATTGAAATTTAATAAATTTTGAAGTTTCTGGTTTTTTAATATACATACATATATTAATAATAAAAATTTTATCGAAGATATAATGAAATTCAATCAAGAACACGAATGGTTGTTGAAAGAACTTTTGGAGTATGGAAGAGACGATTTCCTTGCTTATCAAGAGGATTGTCTTTAAAACTTGTAACATGTACTGGAGTCGTATCAGCGTGTGCAGTTTTACATAATTTAGCACTATATTTTAAAGATGTGCTTCCAGAAGAACCAGAAGTTGATGTAATAATTGAAGATAATGAAGAGCTTTATTACAATGAACTTCAGCAACCTGGAGATGGTTTTATTGTCAGGCAAAACATAGTTCGAGATTTATTTCGTTAACCTTAATGTAATGATATTAATTTTTAATTTTATGTTCCATTCATACATTTTTTACGTTATAATCCAACTATATATTTCAAATCTTATATTGGATTGCATTTTCTATTATATTAAACTTTCCAAAATGTTTTGATAATGTTAGTCATGATCATCATAGCGTCAATGAAAAGTTAGAGGTCCGTTATCTATAATTTTTAAGTAAATTCTGGCAGCCTCAATGTATTTAAAAAATTCTTTAGAAATCAAAGAGTAAATCATTAATTTTATTTTGTCATTTTATTACACTTTATTTTGTATTACATATTTGTTAATAATATGTATAATATATAATACTAAGATAATCATATGATATAATACTCTTAACATAATTCAAAATAAAACAACATAACACAATATAATGCTGATAACATAATATAAAAAATAATAATTTTTTAAAACTAGATTTCACTTCTTTTGACTAGTATTCTCAGTCTTATTTAACTTTTTAAATTAAAAATATAATGTAATAAAATAAAATAAGTGTAATTATAAACAATAATTTAGTAATAATAAAAATTAATGTAATAACATTATTTATAACTTAGTATTCACAGCGAATATTTTAGAAATTTTTTTCTACTCATCATCTGAGATATAATGTTCTCCCCTAGAATTTAAAAACCTTTTTAAATTAAAATTTTATTTATAACTGAAGGGAAAAAGTCATTACTTACATTTCTCTTTGAGCACGAAATTTCGCTAATTTAGCTCTTTCTTGTAACTCTTTTTTTTCTAAGAACAACTTTTTAATCGTCATTTTATTAATAAACTGTTCTCGTTCTTTTTTAAGTTTACATATTTCGATTTCATGATTAATTTTTATATCTGCCAATTCCATTTCTTTGTCACATATTATAGTCATTCTTTCAGTTTTCTGTTTCTTTGAATTGGACCGTGATGTAGCATTTCTATTTTTGTTTCTCTTAAGTTCTCTATCTGATAAAATTGAATTTTCTTTTTCTGTAAAACATTATTTTCATATGTTAAAAATGAACAGCTTTTAATTTAAAATAATAGCTGCTTTTGCGACACAATCAAAATGATCCAGATTAAAATGATCCTGCGCTGTGATTGAATCCGAAATTTCTTTGAACATAATTCAAAAAAATTACAAATTTCAATCACAGCGCAGAATTATTTTAATGTGAATCATTTTGAATCTGTCGCGAAAGCAGCCAATATTTCATATTGTTTTACCAGATTCATTATTAGACTCTTTATCTATTGTATCATATATTGTATCATCCATTTCAAATTCCATGTCGTCAATGTTAAATGCTGGTTCATTAGATGTTAGTAATTTTTGTGTCTTCAAACACTCTCCACTAGCAATGTAATCAATTTTGGTCGAAGCATTCTGCTGAATTGCTTTTAAAACCTTTATTTGTCGATCTAAAAATATTGAATTTAATCATTTTATCATTTAAGTTAAAAGAATTTATATATATTATTTATATATTATCACTTATATAAGCTTATATATTGCTTTTATATTCCTGCATACAAAAGTTACTTAGGTCCAATTGCACCAATGTTATTTGGGCTTTAAGCGAGACTTAAATATATATCCATTTTCTTTCTACATAAAGGCAGACACATATTTAAGTCTAGCTTAAAGCCAAAATAACATTAGTGCAATATCAGACCTTAAAGAAATGGTTGATGTTGTCATGAAATCAGATACAAGTACCTTCATATTCCGCCTTAGAAAAGTTACTTGAAGAAATGGTTGGTGCTGTTGTCATCAAATCAGGGACAATGTCTAAAACATTTGGATCAACTTCAGCAATATTTTTTTGTGGTCCTCCTCCTGTGAGAAATCTTGATTGTCTTTCAGTTGTTAATATATTTTTATTTTGCTGTTTTAAATTAGACCAATACTTCCTCAACTGTTGTACATCTCTCTATAATATAAAAACTATTTATATTTCAAAGAGAATTGATAAAATAGTAAAAATAATAAAGTAAATTTTATACTTTAGTAGAAATTAAGGAAGAGTTATTATATTCTTCCATAATAATAGACCAAGCCTCTGACTTCTCTTTTAACGTGGAGGTATTTGTACCTTTCGATTCAACAATATGTTTGTATTTTTTTAAGATCTCAAGGAATACTTGTTTTTCCAAATCTGAATATACCGTTCTTTTAGACATTATCTTTCTAAAAAATTTATTTTTTGAAAACAAAATTTTAAGAAAATGCAAAGGAAATAGATAATAGATTTTCACAACAAAATAGATAAGGTTAAGTTTTCTCTGTTTAAATAAATATTATAGTAAATATATAACAGTAATAATATCATAATTTTTCTCAATTTTTACTCACAATATACGCTAGTAAAGTAAAATAAATTAGTAAAATCTACCGTTTATTAGAATCTCGACAATGTATTTCTGATGACAGCGAAGACACACGTTTCTCTATGTATACTTTTAGATATTGAAATGTCATTGGTCAAATTTTAGGGAATTCCGAATATTTCCGAAGTTGGATGCTTAAGAATGAACTTTACTAAGACAGTCTTAAGCTTTAACCTGATTCTTCAAGACTCGTTTGTGCATATAGGACATTCTCAAGATAATTTTGGACGCTAAGTTCATCTTGGCGAAGACTATCTTAAGACAGATTTTAAGCAACATCTATGAATTCCACCCAAGGTATCCGTATATGGCCCGATACGTATACGTACAGCCGAAATTGCCCGACGAGTGACGGAGACAGCCGAATACCGCCGGCAGTAAAGTCCTGTTAGATTCTATATTATAATATATTAATTTCGAGCCGCCGAATAATCCGCCGCAGGTCTAAGTATAAATAGAGTCGAAAAACTGAGCAGACAATTCCGTTCCCTGATTCCGACCGATCCTGATCGACGAAACAGTACCCGAGGAAATACGAGGTCGAACATATACTTGGTCTCCGCTGCGAACCTCGCAGCATTTCCAAGAGCGTACACGAGTCTGAGATTTTCCAAATTAGCCGGCAACGAGGATCGAACATCCTCGGTCTCGCTCGAACGTTCTCGAGAACCGACTATTTCTGTCTCTCTTTTTTCCGAACCTTATTGCACCGACTTCTCAGAGAAAGCTGAAGTCCCCTGTGTTGCTGAATTGCAACAGGTCGGTGCATCCTACTACCCGCGGAACGACCGTGACACGTCGCCTGAAATTACTATTCGGACAACGATTCTTACACGTTCTCATTAACGCGCCGCCTACTATCTCTCGCCGAGAGAGCGTCTTACCCCCAAGTGGGGATATCGCTATTAGCGACGCGTACGCGTTCCGCCCCACGCTTTCTTATAGCCGCGGTTTTACATTACCCCCGCGGTGGCCCCGCGAC